AAAAAAAAAAATTTTATTTATTTTATGTCTATGAGTGCTCTATCTGCATGTACACCTTTATGCCAGAAGAGGGCACCAGATCTCATTATAGATGGTTTTGAGCCACCATGTGGTTGCTGGGAATTGAACTCAGGACCTCTGGAAGAGCAGCCAGGACTTTAACGGCTGAGCCATCCTCTTCTTATTTTTAAAAGGGGATTAAAAGACAGCGTCCCTTCAGTGAATTCCTTAAAGGAGGAAACGAGTCTAATATACGAAGTGCTTAGACTGTTAGTGTTGTAAAGGTGCTAAGGGACCAACCTCTCCGCCAGGAGTGTTCTCCTCCCCAGGCTCCTGAGGTGACTGCCCAATCCAGTGACTTTATCCTGGTCCCATTCCCCGTCCTCTTCAGTTAGCCATCAAAAACCACACACACATAAGAATATAGAATTTTATCTCATTTTAGTTAAAAAAAATAATCGTACCACTGAATGAAGAAGTAGCTGTTTTCTTTTTTTCCGAGGGGGGAGGAGGTGGTGAGAGGGGGGACCAAAAATAAAATGCAGAAAGCCCAAAGTAAAGGGAATTTATATTCATCTGTATAAACACATCCACTAAGGCAAATGCAAGCCAGGGCCACAGCTGCTGGGCTGGGCTGGGCTGGGTCCCTCCGGTTCTCACGGGTTCTAAGACCGAAAAAATAAAACCTTTGCAAGTCCCCCTGGGGACTCCTGGGGCGTTGTAATAAAATAAAGAGATATCGAGTTTTGAAAGCAGTGACACACTGAACGTTGCATAACAGTGGCCTCCATGGCCGTTCACTTGGACTGGGTGACGTCACAGTTTCACAACACAGCAACAGATACACACACACACACACACACATGTGAGCAAGCAAGCACATGGGAGGATGGAGCAACAGCAAGGGTTTCGCCATGGCCTGCCTGGTGATGGATGGGCTCGGGGAATGCCCATGCGTTCTAGGTGTGGGCAGGACAGGCAGGCGCTCTCAGGGGTGACAGACCCAGGGAAGGATAGTGTGAAGGGGTGCCAGCCCCATGTCAGCCTGCCAATACACACAAAC